GCTTCTTATTTTCTCCAGGCAAAGCAGGTCAGATGCTTGGCTCCCTTCTCGGCAGCTTTCTGTTCACCTCCTGGTACAAAGTCGTTCTAATGCCTCCCTTCTCCCAGGCATGAATGTAGAATGCTTTCTCACTACCACTTGCTGCTTTGTTCAATGGCATCATGTGGCTTCATACTTCTCAGTCACTGTTTTCTGGGGCCTGAAAGGCAGCTCTGTCTCTGCTGGTCACTCTGCAGTGTGACGCTATGAAAGGAGCACAGGGCTTTGAAGCCAGCTGGAGCTGGGTTTAATCCTGGCTCCACAATTTACCAGCTGTGTGACCTTGGGCAAGTCAATTAACCTCTCTGAGCCACAAATTGTTTATCTGCCTGGAATAATGAAGACGGCCTTATTTTCTTTAGCTGTAGGAGGAAACCTGGGGATTTTTTTTTTGTCTTCTCATTTTGGGAGGTTTAAACCTTAATGAGGCCTTTGAGGTAGGGGGAAGTCTCTATCCTTTCCTTCCTGCACACATCACAGTTAAACAAACATAGATGGTTGCCTGGGGATGACAATCAACCTTTGAGATTAAAGTGCAAGTAGAAGGGAAGGGAGAAATTCCTGGGATGATAAAGGGATGGCCAGTGGAGGACAGAAAAAGGATAAAACTACCCGTGAGCAAGAGGGGCTTAGACAGCCCACAGGACATCATGTCCAGCCCATTCTGGACATGGCACTGACCATCACCCTGCCTCTACCCTTCTGCCTCCTCCATCTCAATGGCACCAATGCCCATCTGTTTCCATGCCAGACTCCAGCCAGGGTACCACTCAGACCAGAGGCTCATCGCCTTTTTTTCTTTTCTTTTCTTTTCTTTTTTTTAATACCACGGACCCTCGGGACATTAGAAACAATGGATCTCTGTATATTTTCAGCTGCATAAAAGAAAACATGGGCAATCACAAAGGAAGCCAATGGGATTGAAATACATGCGTTTATCAGAATATCAGAACAAAGTGGGACACGGAAATCTATGTGCTGCTCTTTTTGTCACTGCTGTAAAGAACCACCGAGTCAATTCTCACAGTGACCCCGAAAATGGAAGAACGAAACACACGTTAGCTGGTCTGGTGCGATCCTCGCTCTCCCGCTTGTGTTTGAACCCACTGTTGCAGCCAGTGCGTCCGTCCATCTCATGGAGGGGGTCTCGACGTTTTCACTGACCCCTCTGCTTTACCAAGCATGACGTCCTTCTCCAGGAACTGGTCCTCCTCCCCACCCGACAACGTGCCCAAAGCATGTGAGACAGTCTCCCCATTGCTGCTTCTAAGAAGCATTTCTGGCCCTCCTCCGGCACATTAAATAACAGGCTTCAGTGGCGTCTCTCAAAACACTGGGTGTCTGAAAGGGTGCATTGCACGATTCCAGGAGGAGGGTCTGGAAAGACGCAATTCTATTGGTGGCTCCCGCACAGGTGTTGCGCACAAGAGTGTGGTTTATTGCCTCCATTCATAATTGGAAGGAAACGCTAAATGTCAGCTAGAAGTTAGGGAATGAAAGATGCCTTCGCCCCGCCACCCCGTACCCACATTCAACTATTCCTCTAATCATGTGGACTCTATACTAGGAGCCCTTGACCTAGATTCTGTTTTTCATTAATGGCCCCTCCTACCCGCCTCTCCTGTTCTGCTCCCAAGTCTTGATGCTGAGCCCCCTTATCAGTGATACTACTGTGGGACCTCTCTGTCCCCAGGGCACTGGGGTTGGGCTGGGGTTTCCCCATTTCTCACCGCAACCACTAAGGCAGCCTCCAGGCTGGCTTCCCTGATTCCATTCTTTTCATTTTTTTCCCAACATTTTGTATTGTGATTTGAGTGAAAGTTTACAAAGCATATTGTTTTCCAATTAGTTCTTCACGGGCATTTGGTTCCGTACCATTAATTACCATATCCACAGTGTCTGACTGTCAATTCATTCCATATTGTTCCCCATACTAATAAGTGTTTCTTATCTATTAATGCATTTTCTTCTCCTTTCCCTCCGTGGCAACCATGCTGGAATGCACAGAAATCTTTGTGTATTAACCTTTCTTTAGCTCTTTATAATAGTAGGCTTCTTCTCTATCCATGCTCCATTCTGAACCCAGAGAGGTCATTCCAAAAGTGCAAACCTGACCACAGCATCCCTCACTCTGAAATCCACCGTGGCTCCCTATTAACTTCACGGTAAACTCTAACAGCAAAGCACCAGAGCCTACGTCTGGATCTCCAGGCTTATCTTCAGCACCATTCTTCTTCAATCATCATCCTGAACTCTTCTTCCAAGTTCCCAGAACACACCTTTCTCACACCTGTAGGCCTTTGCCCATGGTACCCTCTCTGCTTGAAATCACCTCCTCAAGTTGCCCAATAAGCAAAGCTTTATCCTCCAAGTCTCAGCTAAAATCCCACCTTCTCCACCACCTGTCCTCCCCACCCTCCCACCTCCCTGGGCATATGGGGGTCCTCTCTTTTGGAACTCTCACCACAGCTAATGCAGAGGCATCAACACATCATGTTGTGGCTGCCTGACACGCCTGCTTCTCTACAAACTATAGACTTGATGAGTCAAGGGCTGAAGTCTACAGTCCTTCATGTTTCCCAAACCAGGCCAGTACCTGGTTCCCACTAAACCGCCAGCTAATATCAGCTGAAAAAATGAGTAAAAGAAGAAACAGCAGGCTTCTGATGAGCTTCTACCCAGTCCCAAATAGCTGGGAGGGGTAAGCAAAGCCCCAGAATGACCTTGTACCATGAGAATTGTCACCTTTTCCTTTCCTTTTTAATTACAGTGAGAGTCCCCACATAATGGCAAGTGTCACGGGCTATATTCTCTAGAGAAGCAAAACCCATGAAGCTGAGAGAGAGAGAGGGAGAAAGATTCCTCTGAAGAGAACGGTTCACACACTTACAAAGTTGGCAAGTCTCAGTTCTGTGAGTCACACGGCTGTGGTGGCTGAGAGATCCAACGTCACCCAGTTCAAGGCTAAAGGACCCGAGGTGACAGGACAGATGCAGAACCCACACAGCAAAAACACCATTGAGCTGGGTCAGTTGTTGAGATACATTTGCTGCAGGCCCCGCCCTCAAGGAGCCCTCCTTCCCTCCACCCGGCTGCCCACCGCAGATCTCACGGTGGAAGTGCTATTACTTACGGCCTTATCAAAGAAATTATGATCATGGATCTCATCAGAGGATGATTGCACGACATTAGATCTCATCAAGGAAACTGCTAAACTACAGTCACGGGCAGCCAGGTTTGACACTCAATCTTAATCACAGCCAGTCACCCGTATTCGGATTTATGGTAGGTGCAGTCCTTTCTTGAATTCAGCTCTCTACCCTCATCGAGGGGCCCGGCTGTGCGACATAAATCCATCTGCACCCACTGAATCTACTCTGACTCAGCGACTACTCTGCAGCACAGACATGCACTGCCTCACAGGTTGGCCCAGGCTGTGAACCCTTTACACATGCAAATTGCTTCATCTTTGTCCCACTCAGTGACGGGTGAGTTCGAACCGCTGACTTTTCCGTGAGCCATCAGCACTCCTCTCTCATGTCTGAGCACATATAGTTCGGGGGACACATGCCTCAATGTCCCAGCCAGGCTCACCCCTGCAGAAACCGCAACGAGAAACTGCTCTGCAGGACAGAGCCAAGTCGAGCACCTCACAGGCTTCCGAGGCTGCAGACCTTGGCACAGCTCACTGTCTCATCTTCCTCCCACGGAGTGGCTGCTGGGTTCAAACTGCTGCTCTAACAGTCAGCAGCAGAATGCTGTAACCACAGTGCTATCAGACAACCTCATTCTTCAACTGTTGTTAAACGTTGTCAAACCGATTCACAGCTAACCCTGCAGGGTTTTTCCAAGTCTGTAAATCACACAGGAGGAATGTGTCATCTTGCTCCCTCACAGCTGCTGGTGGATTTGAACCACTGGCCTTTGGGTTAGCAGGCAACTCCTTACCACTAAGCTCCCAGATCTCTTGATCCCTCAGTTAGGGGTAGTTGGATCTTTTACCAAAAGGCTTGTGGTTTCAGTGTCATTAAGTAGAGAGTTCTTCCAGTACATAAAGAATAAGATTAGATTTATAGAAATTCCATTTACACTTGGCTTTTTTAGAAGCATATGTCTGACACAGCCAAGCCACCACTCTGTCTGTCAGACATCCTGAAGTGACAATTTATAGGCTCCTTCTCCTCATGCCAAACCCCCATCCCAGCCAGCGCTTAACCCCTTATAACCTGGATCTGCTGAAAGTGTGTTCTGGGCATGGGGCCCCTCTGTCCCCACCTCTCTGAGACATAGGGTGCTGTTGGCCTTCATATGCATATATGCATATTATAGGAAGCATACGATTCTTCATAAAGCTCCAAATTCTCGGCTCCTTGGCCATCTCCCCATGCCATCAACCTGCCCCATCCCCTGCCCCTGTGCTTCCAGATGTGTTTGTTCATCTAACTTCCTAAGTGGATGCGACATCTCCACTCTGATGCCTCAGAAGTTAAGGGGTCAAAGCAGATGTATGATGTGCCATTACCCCAGGCGGCCTCGCCCTCCACTTCCAGGTCTCCACGATGGCTCCATCCTCCGTCCAGTTCTGCACCATCCTCTCCCTCAAGTCCCAACCCCACCACGAGGCCTACTGGCTTTTATCTCCTCAATACATCACAAGTCCATCTACAACCCCTTCCAAGTCTTAACCTTCACAAGTGTTGGGACCCTCTTACTTTTGCTGGGACCACCACCCCAGAGCTCAGCACAGTACTTGTCATGTGATAAGAGGCACCATAAATAGTTACCGAATGAGTGAGTTAGTGAGTAAACAGATGCTAGTTCACAAAGCTACCCAGGAGGCACAACCAGGACTTAATCCACAGTTGGTTCCAGGGCCCAACCTTCTCCATAGCTCTCAGATCCTCTTCCCGAGACCAGCTGATGTCACTAAGCGCCGGCCGGCATGAGGCCCACAGACTTACCAGAGAGCACCGTGAAGACAGCTGCGAAGGCGTTGAGTTTGAGCCCATCAATGACGTTGCTGGAGTGGAAGAGCTCGAGACACATGAGGCTGAAGCCAACAACCAACAGGAGAATATAGAGCACCTCGGAGACCACCGACAGCCACAGGACCCCTGCGTGACAAAGGCAGATAGGCCATGAAGTGAGAGACCCATCACAGCGGATGTTCCCCGTGCCCACTCCACCATGCTCCCAATAGAGGTAGCAAGTCACTGGAGACTAGACCACCGTTCTAGGGTCAGCTCCTCATTAGCCTACAGAAGTCACGGCAATCTCCTCTTCCTCAACACCGACTGGCTCAGGAACCCATATGTAAGCCGACAAGAACACAGCACGCCGCAGGTGACAATTATGAGTTCAGGGTGGCACAGAAGAAAAAACTTGCATCCTTCAGCTAGATGAGAGGTCTTTCTAATTTGCATGTTTCTGGAAACCATCAGAAGGCCACTGACCTTACAGTGAAGTCAACATTGGAGCTGCAGAGTGATGGAAAGACGGTATCATTGGGCCAGGGAATCAACAGCCTGAGGGCTACCCTCCTCTGGTCTTCTCTTCTATGCATTACCTTTCTTTGTTGTTAAGCTGGTTTGTGTCCCAATCTGCTGCCTGCTGCTATAAGCATCCCAGTGTACATACACATCATTCTTGCCCCTCAGAAGACACTCAAAATGTTTATCTGACTTGTAGCCCCAGTGGATGCAATTCTAAAGTCAATCTTCTGGGGCAGAGAGCAGGACAGAGATAATAATCACAAACAGAGCACTTGGCCGAGAAGATGGTACAAGACAGGGTAACCTTCCCTTCTGGGATATGTAAGGTCACCATGAGCTCCATGGTGACTTGGAGCCCCAGCTCCAAGTCATGGGGCTGACTTGGTGGCAACAAACAGTAACAACCACAACAATCTACTTCGTTCTTTTTTTCTAGCATTCACCACTGCTACTCCCACTACTTTGACTTTGTGACACTTCCAGGAGCTGCCATGACCTAAACATGATCTTCCTCTCCTGGTCCAATATGATCATCTGACCTAACATTGGTCAACCAGATCCCTTCTATAGGAATTTGAACTTGGGACCCCAGAAGCAGACTAGGAGAGAGAGAAGCTCACAGGAGAGTGTGTGCACTCAGGAAATGGGAGCACATGGTGCTAGCTACCCCTGAAGGCCATCTGCCCTGTTGTTTTACCAATAGTTTAGCTGTGAAATCCTTTACCTTCCAATAGGTCCAGATTGGGTTTTCACCCAATATACTACACATACTAAAGCATATACTGGGTTTTTTGAAAGCTCGTCCCTTCTGTCATTCTGTTTGAGTCATCTGGGATTGATCTTACATCCTGGCTCCATGTGTGGGCATGACTCACATACGGCCAAGCAAAACTCCACATCCCTCTTGACTTCAGTCATTCATCTTGTGCCTCAGTTTTCTCAGCTATAAAATGGGGATAGTAACGCTATCTTATCCCAGGGTATATGTCAGATAGGTAAACATTTAGGTGTCCTTGTGATGGGTAATGTTTGTTACCTGTAGGCTATGATTCTCAGGGGGTTGGCAATAGATGCAATCATCTCCCATCTTTGGTCTGATATGAGCAGCCAATCAGTTGGGAGAGGAGTTTCCTTGGGGGTGTGGCTGCCACCAGTATATAAACTGTTCTTTCTCCATCCTGTACTCTTCTCATCACCTGACCTTTAGCTCTTAGGACAGAAGCTTAATATTTTGGATCTTCAGCCTCTGCAGTCACATGAACCAGCAGAGGTCTTCAGCCTGTCATCCACCACACAGATTGGGGCTTGCCAGCTCCCACAATTACATGGACCATTTCCTCACAGTTGCACAAGGGATTTGCTTGAAGCAAATGTCTAGAGATATGTATTTATATACACGTCACTGGGTTTGTTCCTCTGGCGAACCTAGAAAATATTTCCCGCAGGCAAGAATGATGTGTATGTAAGTTGGGATGCTTAAAGCTATTGGAGTTGAAGAATCTGTTATCAATAAGGAAACGAATTTCATGTAAAAAGAAGTCCAGGGTAGGTCAGCCATCGGGGCTTGTTTTTTTAGTGGACCAATGGTGTATGAGAACTCCATAACACAGTAATCTTTTGAGCTTGTGCCTGGCGTACAGTGACAGCTCAATTCAGGTACAGTACTTTCAGAGTTGTTGTTGCTGTTGTTTTTATATTGGGAATACATTATGGGTATACAGATAGTGCCTCAAAACAAAGCTCAGAGTCTCTGGATTGATTCCAAAGCTGGAGGAAGAAATAACATTGTGGGAAAAGATGAGGTTTCTAAGAAAAAAGGTAATGTGGAAGATAGAATAAATGAGAAACTTATCCACATGACTCTCTAAGTCATGCTAGCTACATGGTTCTAGTGGGGTCCTTACTAACAGACATAGTCTACCAGAGACTAGCATATGACCCAAGTCAGTTCACTGAAAGTCAGCCACAGGGCTGCCTGAAACTATTAGGAAAGAGAATCTTTCTTTTCATTAGGTTTAAGGCTGAAGTGTGCAATGATGGAGTTAATTGAGCCACTTGCTAAAGTCATATTAAAGGGCAGATTCAAGAGACAGAGGGAGATATTTGTCCTGACAATATTTTTTTTGGCCCCTAGATCCAGCCACACCCGAAACCAGTATCTTTCAATCATAAAATGCAGTTAACTCCTTGTCTTTGCTGAAGTGACTTTGAGATAGAATTTCTCTCACTTGCAACCACGTCTCCATCATTAGGCTATATTTTCTCTGCTGCTGTGAAGCATGCCCTTTCAGATACTCTGCTTTTGCACTAATGTATACTTTATACCTGTTATGTGCTGGGGACAGTCAAGAAATAGTTCCAAACAGTACCAGCTAAATGAAGCAAACAAACAGCAAACTCTGGGTCCAGAGACTCAAATTCTGAAAACATTCACTATCACCTTCAGGACCCCAGACTTCTAGAGCTTCAGGGATTTCTTCTTAGAATGCTGCCACAAAAGAACAAATAAGTATGTGTTGGGGAAAGCATAACCTGGGTGTTCCTCAGAGGCAGGGATAGTGAAACTGTCTCATGTGCTTTGGGCATGTTGTCAGAAAGGACGGCAAAAGTGAGGAAGACTTTAAGGAGATGCGTTGACATGGGGACTGGAATAATGGGTTCAACAGGACACGGTTCTCATCTGTTGTTCATAAGGTTGCTAAGAATCTAAGTCAACTCAACAACACATAATAATTTTAAAAATAGCATCCTTGGGCAATCCTTTTGGATTCTTGTATGAGAATAATGTGCTCACTCTCAGTAGCCTGGCTGTTGTTAAAACACCCCCTGGCGCCAAACAATAACAGCCCGCCAAGCCCTTCTCCAGACAAAGCCCACCAGCTGCAGAGAAGAAGGGGGTAAATGTAGGGTGGGCTGGGCCATGCCAGGCAGGAGGCATCAGGGCTGAGCTAAGGATCATGGCACACGGCTCCCCGGCACCTCCCAGCAGCCTTTGCTCCTCGGAGCCCTCCTCCAGCCCTGGCAGAAGCCCCCTCACCAGGGTGCTAGCTGCTGACTCAGTCTCTTCTCCCACCCCTACTCTCATTTTCCAAAGGAGAACTCCCATCCTTACCCACCAGGCCCCCTTCCAGCACAACCCAGTTCTGTTCTTTCAGATCTGATGGGAGACTGGATGGGGCATGGGGGTTGGGATGATCCAAACGCAAGTCAGTGACAGAAGAACAAATAGCAGCAGTTTAGGGCCTGGCTGGCTTCATGTTTCTCATTCCCACCAGATTTATTTCCTTGTCTCTCACTGGGCTCAAGAGCAGCTCTCTGGGAGTTGTAGACCACCCAAACCAGGGAAATGAATACTCATAACTGCTGTTGATGTTGATGTTGATGTTGGCCACAGTGAAAGTCAAAAGTCAATCTTTATGATGTGTCAAATCAGAGTCAATCAACAATGGTGGTGCTCCACTGAGTCTCCTTGTGTCTCCGGTTGGTATTTCTGTCTTTGAAGGATTGTCTTTGGGCAAATGAAGCCTATCGTCACTCAGAGAGAGCTTGAGAACTTTCATATCCCTCTTTACTGTCCTCAACCAATGGCTGGTGAGTTGTCCCCTGCCCTTTGCTTTTGATGAGACAGTCCACACTACAGAAACCCTGCGGGGTCAAACTGGAGATATTCTCCTGAAACTTGGCCTGGAATTGTCCCTCTACCTTTCACCCTGCCCTGTCTTGTTTCCCCAGTTTGTTCACCAGTCTCCCAGGGAACATTTCCTTTGCAAATCTTATACACAAGTCCTCATCTCAGGAATTACATCTATGGAGTCTGACCTCGGATGTAAGTGCTGGTGTGCATTATTCCAATGCCTCAGAATCATCTTGGAAGGTGGCAATGCATCATCTAACCTACCGATGAGAAAATTTATATTCAGAGGGATTCAGCAACCTGTCTACACAGCTTGAGTGTAGAGTAGTCTGGATTCACATCCAGGCTTCTTTGACTCAAGAGACTATCCTGAGTATGATGTGTTCACCACACATTTCCATCGAGTTGGACCCAGCTCATAGTTGACCCTCCAGTGGGTTTTCAGGAGAATTGCACAGGAGGAAATGACCCATCTTTTTCCTATGAAGCTGAGCTGGTGGATTTGAACCACCAGAGAGGCACAGCCTTTGGGTTAACAGAGCAACTCCCTACAGACTACGCCACCAGAGTTATAATATAATCTGACACCACAGAGTCATCATCTCCAAATCGTCTCTTTCACTCTTGAACTTGGCACCATGGCCCATCTGGGTGTGGGGCACAGTGTTCCCTAGCCGGACCTCTCATGGCAGAAGGTGTAGAATCCCAAGTAATTCCTGAGCCAAGATTCCTGGAATACACAGCGATGAGTGGGAGAGGTGGCTCTTTGGTTCTCTGTGATTCGGAGCCCACTCGGCTAACCAGTGTGACAGGAAGGACCGCAGGCTGGAGAAGATGCATTCTGAAGGGTCTTCAAGATCGAGGCCAGGCTGAGGAAGCTGAACTTGATCCGTAAGGCAGAACAAGCGAGGATACAAAGAAGGGCCTAACCAAGGGGGCAGCATGACTGCGTGTGTGCTGGGGGCACCACTATGTCAGGAGCATCGAG